CGGTCGAGCTCTTCGTGCGCCTTCTTCTGGACGCCGGGGCAGCGTATCATCTCGGACATCGCCCACTCCACAGTGCCTTTGGAGGTGTTCGTCCCAGCTACGAGAAGATTCTATCAAGAAATCGAGCACGAGTTCTTAGCGAGCAAGAAGAGATTTTTTTCTCCTTACCTGGAGGAGTGCGATGATCGCCATGTCGTCCATCTTGTTCTCGCCACCCAGTGAGAGCATCACGTCCACAAAGTCCCTGGGAGGATTCTCCGCGACGAAGCTCTCCTTGTGCTGCTTGACGATCGCGTTTAGGAAGTTCTCCACTGCCGGTATGATCTGGTTCTTCAGCCTGTGCTCGCTCCTCTTGACCTTGTCGACCCATCGCAGCGCAGGGATGAAGTCTCCGATGTACAGCCGCTCCGACTCCGCGATGATCGTGTCCCACACAGCGCGATAAGCCTCGGCCTCTAGGGTGACAGGGGTGTCCGAGTTATAGAACTTCTGGCCGAAGAGAACCGACGTCATCAAGTTGGTGAAGAGCTCGTGGAGCAGCGCGGTGAGATCAAACGCCTCCCCGGCAGCCGCCGACTTCTCGATGATCGAGGCAAACGCCGCGAGCTCGCGCTTGCGGATCCCAGAGAAGTGGTTCACTCTCCCGGCGGCGAAGATCTCCGTGCCACTCACTCGCCGCAACATCTTCCAGCGCTCGCCGTGAGGAGCAAACACCAGATCATTATAGTCGTGGCTTACGTTCTTGAAGAAGGTGTGGAACTGGGGCCTGCTCGCAAACTCGACATCGTGATCCTTGAGAACCTCCCTGGCCATCGCGGGGCTGCTGATGATTACGTGAGGACGGCTTCCCAGCTCCATATACATGATCGGTCCATACTTCTTGGCGAGACGATGGAGAGAGCGGTGCCTGGAGCGGCCGAGAGAGGGCAGTGATCCAACAAGAGGCCAGGAAAAGGGACCGGGTGGAAGATTGCTATGCGCCTTCTTCCTCGAGTAGAGATTGAACAGCGCAAAGAATGCGATCGCTAAGCACAGACAAGTCGTCCAGTAGTACCAAACGCTGGAGTAGAGAAGAGAATCCATGGAAATCCTTTGAGAGATTTTGGACATTGAGAAGAAGATAAGAGAAAAGAGTGGAAGAGATGAGGATAGAGAGGTAAGTGTGTTGAACTTATACCATAATTGTGAGATTAATTTATATTTGGAAACATTCCTACGAATGGAAAGTTCGCAAGCATCGTGTCAAAATCAATAAATTTCTGCAGGTTCTCAGAAATCGAGAAGGAAAAGTCTGAAATGTTTCCATTGATTTGTCTTTATTCCTTGCATCCTGTAAAGTGAAGATTGTTAATCAAAATTTACTTATATCGTAAGTATTTTTAATAATGGATCTAAATACAATAGATGAAAATATAATTTATGAGCTATCTTATTAAGTATTATAGGCATAATAAAAATGAAATCACTCTCTTCTAATTTAATTAGAAAAATATTTATCCTGAGAATTGAGTTAGTTTTTATATATAATTTTTTTAAAAACAATTCTTAATATTGTGACTTGATTTTTTTATAGTATATGACAATGAGGAGTTCACTAACTTTCTAGACCTTAATCTCATGAAAAATAAATAAACAAAAAAACAGAAAGTAATAAATAACTGAGAGTCAATATTAATATAATATTGTGCATCAAAATTTTAATACATAGATGTAATTCCACTTTATGGTATGCATCACCAAAAAAAGTAACTGAGTAACTTTTTATTTGTCTCTTTTCTATACTCATTCTTTTTATAATCTAATTAAATAAAGTGTTACCAAAGTGGATCTTGTATTTAAATACTAAATTCACTATTATTTGAATTCATATATTAAAATAATTATTTTAAAAGAGTAAAAAATATTTTTAAAAAACTAAAATTTTTAGCATATATATATATATATATATATATATATATATATATATATATATATATAAGTATTTCATTTGCAAAAGGCCATTAAAAACTCTTTCTTTTAAATTTCTATTTTGTTTACATATTAAATTCTTGAGGTGGCTATGAACAAAATCCATGGGAAAGTATTTAAATTATGAAATGGGATTTAAATGGAAAATAGTTTTTCAAAGGGATTGAAGATCAGTGTGTCGAAAAGAATAAAATTATTAAAGACTGAGAGAGTTTAAAAACCATTGTCCTCAAAAAGAATATGACGTTTTAGGCATTTAGAATGGAATGGGAGGAACGTCACCTACACAAGAGGACGCAATTGCTATTCATAAAAAATTCTCTCTCGAAGTATAAGACAATCTGTGTGTGGCTTGAGAACAAAATGCTGCTATACTCAGATGCTTTCCACAGCTTTACTATCCTCAAGTTCCTGTAGAACACAACACCAAGCATCGCATCTTAAGTTCCAAGAATTCTTAACAGCAACATTCCATGTACCGCTGAGTGGTGAACTCGTCCCAAAGGATCCTTCACTTTCAAGAAAATGCATTTCAAAACTGTGGCCGTCATTCCGAGTAACACATAAACATATCAACGAAATTGTATACGCACGCTCTGCATGGGGACAGGAGGATGTTAGGAAATAGAAAAGAGCATGAATTTTACCTTTGAAACTTAGCTATATGCATATGGAGACACGAACATGGATTTAGTCATTTTGAAGTAAGCCATGGCTGTCAAAACACGCTGTGCCCAGAAATCATCAAAGACGTCGGTGCTGAGCAATGCAACTCGAACTGCATCTCCGCATCTCTGTTGCAAATCCTTCACACTGATTTCCAGTTGCAAGACATCGTAGCTTAGAGCCCCCGAACAGTTGTCCAACGAACTTCTACAGCTTTGCAAGAGCTCCTCGAATTTGAGCCTGGTGAGTTCAAAGCTCCACTGTAGATCTTGCATGGTATCAAACTTACACGGCTGGGTGTGGTTCGGCAAGAACAGCTCCAAAACATTTCGACACTTGTGCCCCGGATCCAAGCCAGAAATAGTTTCCCAGCAGTCTTCCAGATGCACGAACAATGGCTGGCCCACAGTGGTGTTTGCACGGAGAGCTAGAACTCTATACAGGCATCCAGCCGTGTTCGTGCAAAACTTCTCCGGATCACGGCTACTGATTCTCGAATTTACAAAGGAGCTGAAAGCGAGAGCACAGCCTGCATAACATAGCACGTGTTAAAACAGTTTTACAAGCCAGAAATCCACACACATACCTCCCAGTGCCTGAGAAAACATACGAGCTGCAAGTGCTAGTGCGAGCACAAGCACAGCGCTCATTGCTGAACGATTGATCTGCTCTAGTCGTTGGTAAGCTCGTCACGGACTGAATGCTTCGTTAAGACCGTAGACGCAAAAATGCATCAAAAGTTTACCTCGCCTTTGACTCCAAAATTGTCTAAACGGTAGATCGTCTACATGAATTCAAACGAGATCGAAGTCCCTCCACCTATATGGTGAAGCACACTTAGAAGGAGCAGTTCCAAACATACACGGACCTTGAGCTTGCCGTGAGAGTCATGCAAGCCACGCAGCATGAATCAGCGTTGATTTTCACTTTTGCATCGGTCAGCAAATGCACAAAATCTGCACTTCCACTCGTCGCTCTGCGACACAAGATGTGACTCCCTACTACCATTCCAAAACTGCAGATGGAACTGGATTCTCTGTTTCAACCAGTCGGGGTCAAACATAAACTCCTCCTCGCCAATTAAAGAGCGATCAACTTGCCACTCGTATCTGGCAGACCAAAAGGTTTTTTCTATAGAGGTGAATTTCCAAACGAGTCATACCTTAGCTTCAATAGCTGGTCAGCAAGAGGAAGGACAGTACAACTTTCTTGAAGAACGCCGAGTAATTCCTTTAAACAATCCACCTTTTCAAAACCAGCTATTTATCAGAAAACGAGTCACATAGCATTCACTTACTTTAGAGCTGAGCTTTATGTCAACAATATGCGACCTTATGCTAAGGGACAGCTCCTGTAGAGGATCGAGCTCAAAGTTTGAGAAAAACTCATCCAAAGGGATAGCTTGCTCGCACAATGTGTCCCACAGACGTTTGTAGCACATTAGCTGCAACCTGTAAAGCCACAAAGAATACTATCAGCGTGCAAAGACACACAGACGAGCACCTTCCATTTCGTTTTTGAGCGTCGGATGGAAGAGACTGACGTAAGCGTGTTTTCGTATCAATTAGGCGAGGTCCGGCACTACCTTCGGGTAGCATCAACTCGTCAATGATACCAGTCCACCAGTTGCCTTCCACAAATGCTACTCTGCAAAAACAAAGATTGTAAGAAGCAAGCTCATGTTCTAGTCTTTTGTTCTAGCTTACATGGGAAGTTCTCTCGTGAGGCCTTCGGCTAGAAGCTGCCTAGTGCCAACCAAATAATTGATGAATCGAACAGCCCAGAAATCTTCTCTCGTTCGTATATCAACATCCACTCTCTTAACAACCTGCTTTGGAAACGAAAGGAAGTAAACGAAGGAAAGCCGAAGAAAAGAATGCTACCTCCGATTCGAGCTCTACGTGCCGGGCGCTCCCGGCTTGCATTGCGGAAGTTTTCGGAGGCTTCCCACGCAAGAAAGAAAACTCCACTTGTTTCTCACACCATTCCTGTCAATCAACTCAGCAACAAATCTTAAAAACTAGCATTGCTTTGCTCACCAATGCCGTCATGTCGGTCACACACAGGCTCTTCTTCAATGGAAATCGCAATGCCGCTGGCAATGGCGCCGAATCCTCAATGTCTCTCACCTCCGATGACACACTCTATGCCCGAAACGCTCAAAACACGAAACAATCGAAAATATTTCGCTCGCACTCACCAGAACCAGGCTCGATTGAGCTCGTGCTGCTGCCGTCAGCATCCTGCTGCGATGGAAAGCGCTAGCTTGCCGCAGCGCGGCCTCGATCGCTTGCATTTCCTCTTCGTCCACGAGCTCGAATGGTACCGACATCATGAGCCCTAAAAATAAAGAGTGATTGAAAACGTCGCGGTTCGAATCCCCTCACGAAATTTTAATTCAGAGCAAATTATTTACATCGCAAACTCTTAATTAATCCCGCCTGCTTCGAGGCGTTCCAGCAGCGTCGTCTTCACAGCTCAAATACTTGTAGCTACCAACGTTTAATCTATTTATTCGAGCACAACAGAGCATTTGCTCTGGCAGCTCTTCCGCTTTGTTTCCCTGGAAGGAAGAAAACAAAGAACAGTCACGACGAAGGAAGAAAACTTGTGAATGACTACTACTACGCACCTGGATTGTAAGGCCAATGTCTAAAACACACAGCTTCAGCCTCTCTCGGAAAGATTCCACTGCCTTCCGCGCAATGAAGTTAAAGCGATGAACGTCCAAATCCACCTCGAGGTAGCCGGGACCCTGGATCATGGAAGTCATCCATGAGAACGATGCGATCTAGCTAAGAAAACTAAAACGGACCTTGTGAAACGAGTGCTGTGGACGAGAAAGAACGGGCTTCTCATTTGAAGTCACAACCAGCCTCTTCTCCGGAGCACTGAGATGTATCTCATCAGGATTCAAAACTCTGGCCACAATCTTTAGCCTCTCCCTGAACGAAACGATTGTCTCTCCAACAAGGCCTCTGACCTTCTCCTGTTCGTCGTCGAGTAATTTCTGGAACAAAACAAGGAATTCTTCACACGCGATTATAAAACAAGAGACTCACAGATAGCATGTCTTTTAGATACGGAGGGCCGTTCCTCTTGAACTCTTCCGACATTCTGTAATAGAAAACCAGGTTCAAACCTTCGCCATTGTTCTCAGCTGGAAACATTGAGGCAGAGTACATAGGCACCTAAAGGAAACGTCATCAAACCCATAGAAAACGAAGATAGATACAAACCTGAATGTTGAAAATAAACAAAGAGGGGAACTTGTCCTCTGGATTTCCGTCTACAATATGCGATAGATCCACAAACCGAGCGACATGATCGATTTTCTTTGGCGACAGGAAAACATCCACACCAGCAGCCTCGAAGATTGAAAACTTGGACGCAGCTTGCTTTTTCTTATCCCTGTGAGGAAAAACTAGTTAGCAAGCAATGCCAACATCAAAACGGGAAACAACACACTTCATGTAGTTACGGGATCTTAGTTTGAAGGTCGACGGACATATTCTAGACCAGCTGCCTTCGACCGAGCCGTCCGACATAGGAACTTGAGTAGCTGCAATGGGCCGGTGAAGAACTTTGGACATATCATCTGCACTTGCCAGATCGCAAGCATAAGTCACACGAAAACGTTGGAGATACAAAACACTTACGCAGCTCGAAACTGTCGTTAACATCCGAGCGTCTCTTGAACGAGAACAGTCGAAACGATCGTCGCCGCTGAGGACTCTTCTTCTCGAACGAGACGCTTGTTAGCAGGCATGGCAAGCAGCCCTCGAATTCCTTTGCCTGCTGCTGGTGCTGGCTTGCGTGCTTTCCCATCTCGAACTCAGTGGAAGCATCACTGACCGGAGCAACACTGACGCTGGAATTCCTGGGAGTGGCATCGATCAACCTCCTTCCGAGAGACACAGAGCTCTTCTTGTCCTCTTCCGGATGGAGTTTACTGCTGAGAAGATGCTCGTCGGCTACGGCGAAACCATTGGCGGTTTTCGGAGACACTACTGTGTCGACTCTCAACATCTCCTCCTTTAAATTGGCGAGTGTTGGACGAGGCGTTGTCGGCACACTAGGGGGATTCAAGGAATTCGCCGCGGACGAAAAATCTAAACAATGTCACGACTCACGAGTTGGAAAAGTGGGACACACAAACGAAGGAAAAAAATCGACCTTTAAGACTTACCCCCACACACGCTCATGAATTCGTCATCCGAATCCGAGGTAAATCTTGCTTCCGCGTCATACCAATTCTCCTCGGTGCTTCCTAAAATGGTCGGTCGATTGAATGGACGACAAAAAGGAAAAACGTACCAAGCGACTTTTGATGTTGATGAGAAGGCTCTTTCTCGTTGAGTATGAATCCCAGAGTCCTTCTCCCGGACTGCCCATGATCTCCATTCAAATTCCCATCAATCGCTTCTTCCTCCAAAGGGAGGCCCTTGAATCGCGTCCGAAATCCCTGCCTCCGATCGCGCTTCCTCCCGCGAGGATGATCCTTTTCCTTTTGCAGCGACACACAGCCTCCCATTGCTAGGATTTCACCGTACCCTGATCCAAACCAGAATTTCAGGAGATCTAGAGCAATCGCAGCACATCTGAGCTGCTGCGCGCTCGCGACGACGATCGCCTACATCCCCTGACCGATCTCCGCAGCGACGATCCAGAAAACCCTAAGCCGTCTACTCCAAGCAGGGATGGCAGTGCGCTTTCCTCATGATTGAATGAAAGGGGAAGGAGAAATTATAAGGTCGCTTTAAAGATTCTCAATGTTCTACAGAGATTCGAACCCGGGAACTTCAGTTTATTAAGAGTTCAGTGTAGTTAATTAGTAACTCCAAATAAACCTTGTAAAGGTTTCATGGTGTAGTTGGTCATCACGTCAGTCGAACACACTGAAGGTCTCCAGTTCGAACCTGGATGAAGCCAGTGTTTCTTCGTCTTTTTTTTTCTATCAAAAAGACACAATCAAACAAAAGTTGCTTGATCTCACTGGTTTTGATACAAGCAAATAATCGGCAATATGCAAGAAACTATGCAGGCAAGAAACTATGAAGATAGTCAAACCAATTACTGATATTGATATATCCTTCTAAAAGTTGTGACAAACAGAAAAATCAGTGCCAATGACTCCCATCAAACAAAAGTTGCTTGCTTGTCCCAACTTTTGGCACAGTCCCTGGAAAAATCAAACCGGGAGCACACGTACCCAGATATCTTGACGGACTTCAGCAGCTGAGAAGTTCTCAATAAAAACATAAAACGTACACTGAAAGCCACTTGTTCTCCAGCAAAAGATCGCGGTCGTCGTGCAACACGTCGTCTCCCGAATCCAACAAGTCAACCCTGTCCCTGTTGCCTGCTTTACTTACAATTCCTATCCTTTCACATGACCCCCGTTGTTGCTCGGCACGAGAAAGAGCGCGATTGATTGATTAGCGTGTTGAAAGCAACAAAAACACCGTACCCGGACTGGAGAATCCATCAGTTGGCCTCAGTGCCATCCAAGCCCGTAGTCCAGACCCGCTACCAAAGCAATGGATAGCGGATACAACGAGAGTACTGCCAATGCCATGTACAGCCGAAACGTAGTCCTCTTTCCCCCGAGCAGTCCCACCAGAAAGGTGACTACTGCTATCACAGTTACCTCCGAGGAGAAGTCCCATACAAGTCTTCTGGCACAGACAATGGCCAGGAAAACTCCGAGGCAGAGCGTGTTGTTGAGTGTAACAGCACCGTATATCTGTGCGTATGATAAAAGTCGTGAGCCTCGGCAAACAAAAAGCTTACGAAGTTTTGCATATACCTGCGAGTAAGTCATGGAGATGTTCCGCTTCTTCTTCCTCGCAGCGAACATAAGAGATGACACCGCTTCGCTCGAGTTGGTCGCCAGTGGAGTTGCTACGAAAGCGACGAAGAAGGATGGAATCTTGCTTGCTTTGGAGAAGTTGTCAATCGCGTCGACCAAAGGGTCCGCGAATACTCCGGCGATGACTGCCCCAGCGAGGATGAATGCCGATGCTTTTAAGATAACCTGCTTTGGATTCTGCTTATCCTGCTCGTCATCGTCTTCGTCGTCATCTGGCTGCTGCTCTAGCAAAGCATCCAGAGATGAGCGAGCGTCCTTGGCCTGTGAGTCCCAGTACTCGGGATTGTCTCTATGGGAATCCTTGGCGCGAAAGCTTCTCATCCACTTGGTGATGGCGGCAACGAACTCTTCCTGCGACACCTTATCATCCCTGGAGGTGTCGAACTCTTTGAGCCAGTTTTGGACCTCTTCCTCCTCGGGAAGATGCGTCTCGTGCGTTATACCCAGGCCCACGATAAGACCCCTCAGCTCCCTCTCCGAGAGATGACCATCATCATTTTCATCAAAGTATCCAAAAATTCTGCAAACACATCGGGGCTTTTCAGTCAAAAACTTTGTGGAAGATTTCCTTACCTGAGAAGAGCATCTTTGTTTGGAGTGACCCCATCCTCGAGAAACAGACCTCCCCAAGCTTGCTGAGTAGAGTAGACGTGAACTCTGTGCAGAGCATGCGACTGGCGGTATCGATGCCTTGCAAAGTAAATCCTCCTCTGTTGAATCCATGGCGACACAACCTGAGAGTCAACCATGTCACTGAGGATCAGGCTTCGGGACAAAAAGATAAAAACAAACCTGGTAGCCGCAGTAGATGAAGAGGGCACAGAACGAGATCACGCAGCTCACCACCGCAAACGGATGTCCATACGACGGCCGGTGTAGCAAATGCGGGAGCTGCGCCAGAACGTAAGGAAAAACAGTGGCGATCATTATCCACGCCGAAACAGTGGTCTGAGAATCAGTTGTGATTCCAGTTCCTAGGAAAAAAACAAGAACAAAAAACAAGAAGAAGAAGAAGAATCGAATCGATCCACTTAGTTCGTTTCAAACCAAGATAAAAATTCATACCAGTCAAGCTGAAACCTCTTGTGAGCGTGCGGTCCTTGGCGACCAAATCGGCATGAACGGGGTATAAGTCACAGCGGCCAACAAAGAGACAGCTACCCCACAAGAGCGTCAGCAGCATTATCGTCGATCCGGCAAGCAATCCCATTCCAACTGAAACTTGCGACTGCGCGGTCTCTTGATTCCCTCCCAGTCCCGACACTGAAAAGACGCAAATCGAATGAGCTCCCGATCTAATCCAGAGAATCCGCGAGAACTCACCGAGAATGAGGAGCGCATCCGGTAGGGATCCAAGAATCGGGAGCAGCAGGCCGCCGATGATCCCCGGGTTGAGCACCGTGAGCAGCAGCTCGCTCCCATCGGACAAGAGCTGCGCCGCCTTGAGCATGACGAATCCATACGTCGCCAAGAGGTAGAGATTGCCGACCACTCGCGTGGAACACGGCAGCATTCCATAGCTCTCAGAGCACTCCATTCTTAACCCTAGCTAGACGTGTGTATTTCCAACATATTAGTTTTAAAATATAGTTGGCTACACCAGAATCGAACTCGAGACTTTTTCTAAGTAATTACCTGAGGCAAAAAGCTTTGATCAAATTAAAAGAGCTTGTAGCAAGCTCCCAACATAGAACTCGATGATAAATTTAATCCTTTTAATCCTTTTGAGGTGGAGAGAAGGGTGGCGGACGGAAGAAAGGTGGGAGTGGCCTTGGATTGAAAGGTGGCAAGTGGAATGGTGGTCTTGGATTGAAAGGTGGCAAAGGTCTTGGATTGAAAGGCGGCAGCTGGAATGGAGGTCTTGGAACGAAAGGAGGCAGATGGAATGGAGCACCTGGAATAAAAGGTGGTGGAGCATTAAAAACCATAAGTTGTGATAATTAAATTATTACCTGCTGTATCTTCATTCGGCAATACCCGGCTGCAGCTCACTTGCAACGCACTGAAGAGTAGAAGTACTTGAAGCACAAGCATAAACATGGCAAACATTTTAAAAGCCATCTCACCTAAGATTTTCAACTAATTGAGTCTTTTTAAGCTATGGAGCAAATCCAAAATTACAATTTTTAGCCTTGTTGTATTCTTAGATTTTATTTTTAATGGCAATATTGCGATTAGCCAATATTTTGTTTGCCTTGTTTGATACTATACAAAGAGTCAAACACGAAAAAGTTTAAAGCCGAGGCTGGATTTTCTATATGAGGTTTGGATGTGCGTAGCTGGAAGATTTATGGATCAGTCCAGGACTCTAAAACAAAGAGCAAATACCACTAACCAGTTTGCCGCGCAAGCGAATTCCGTACAACACTTCGCATCGTTTCTCTACAAACTCCCCGCTTCACTGCAAACTCACCAACAAAGCCAAAAGAAGATCTATCTCCCTCAAGGTAGAAAAAAAAACATCGAGTGTACCTCTTTGTTTACTCGACTTGCTCCGCTGGTTGCTGCTCTGCTGGATCATCCACTGCCTGCGAGACCACTGGTGTCACTGCTGCTGGTGATGGTGTCGAAGAAGCTTTCTCATCCGGGAAGATATCTGGCTGGAGCGCCGGAGATATCGTCTGGACGTGATGCCAAGTGAGCTCCCACAAGCTGTCTCCTCCCAAAGTACTGCCTTGGACCAGCACCCCGCGAGCGTGCATTATCAGCAGCATGTTCCTCAGCAGCTCCGGGACGAGCTCCTGGAGCTTGTCGCTGCCTTTGCCTCGCAGCCGGGCCTTCATGTACATCTCCATCCGGCTCAGCACCGCCAGCCACAAGGCCCGGAAGTTTGGTAGCAGCGCGAGCTGATCCAGAAACTGGAGAAAGATCTTGGACAAAAACTTCATGGCGTGGTGGAGCGTGCCTTCCATCCCCCTGTACTCCTTCGGAGAGTTCCTAAGAGCGATGTCCAGGAGGTCGTCCAGCATCACGAAGATCACCTGGTCGAAGCACTGGATCCAAACCATGGCTGGCAAGTGCAAGCTCTCCGCCGCTGTCAGGCATCTCTGCAGCGAAAGGATGGCACAGTTCCTCACTTCCTCCCGCTGCTCCCCGCAAACTCTTCGCAGCCCCTGAGCCAGCCGGATCCACATCTCCGCCAGTTCCTGCGAGGCTCTCACGCTGTCTTCCTTGTTCTCGTCCGATTCCCCAGTCGCCACTTGAGACCACTTGATGAGCGAGTTCACTGATTCAGACAGCAGGTCCAAAGCCTTCAGGGATCTCTCGACGCCGCCGACGCGAGTCTCGGCGAAAGCTCGAGCAGCATCCAGGCAAAGAACGTAGTTTGCCGGAGTTAAGTGCGCACCGTCGTGCATGATGAAGTACAGTGCCTCGAAACCGGACTCCGAAGCATCTGGGTGGCGAGCTGTGATCGACAGGAGCGACGATATCGTCCGCCACCCCATGGGAGACTTGATGTGTCCAGCGTTTGCTCTCACGAGCTGCATGACCTCTTGCGTGATGCGCTCGCAGAAAGCGTCGGCTACTCTCGCGTCCAGCTTCAGTATCAGCTGCAGTGACCGCAGGAGTTCTTCCGCCAGGTTCTCCTTGTAAGGCAGCAGCCTTTGGCAGATCCTCAGCAGGCCAAACACCGCCTTTTCCACGAGAAGGCATGGAACGACTGTCGTCTGGACGATCCCAGCCATGTGTTCGTAAACACCTTGCCAGAGGAGGAGTATACGGTCCCGGTTGTTCAAGGTGATCGCGATGAGAAGCTCGAGGCAGAATACGGCGGTGTCCTCGTCCTCGGGAGAGCTAGTACCTTTCTGTGGCCTTCCTGCTGCCCAGATGAGCGCCTTCGCGAGGTGCAAGAGCGACTCGGCTTGCAGGAACTTGCTCTCGGAGAAGATGTTGTCAATGTGGCATGCCTCGATCGTCTGGAGAATTCTCTGGTGAGCTGCAACCTGCTGCTCCGACGGTTGAGACCTCGGTTCGTCGGCCTCCAGAGACAGGAGCTGGCTGAATCTACTCATCAGTCCGGAAGAACGTCGTCGAACTCCAGCCGAGACTAGAGGCGGCACTGAAAGTCCGCCGGCTATCATCTTCCCCTGAGACTCACTCGCTGCGTCTGTATCATCCGCTGCATCGCTCGTGACACGAGAAGGAAGCAACCCGAGCTTGTGAAGTCGGAGTATGCAGTCGAGTATGTTTCGCCAGCCATTACGGATGAAGTCGCCGTACTTGTTGGCAATAGTAAACACTGTCACTGCAGCCATCCTTGCCTTGCTATCCTCCCCGAAAGCCAGGACTGGTTCTTCCATCGAGGCAGTCGGGTTCAAGAGCGTGGTAAACTTGCACAGCGAAACCACGAGATCGTCGAGGATGTCCTCAAGGTGGTGGCTGGCGGATATCTTTGCGACCGCGAGGAATCCATCCAGGCATCCTCGCAAAACTTCCTCGTCCTCCGCGTGATCGAAGACGACTGAGATTGCGGCTATCGTCGGACCCGACATGATCGCAAACATGTCGTGATCTAGGAAAGGCCGGGAGTCGCAGACGATGTAAGGACTTGTCTTCCTAGACCTTCGTATCAAGTCGAGCCATCTGCTGTGTGTCATTTCGGGAATGCCCGCCCCGAGATCATATGAAATTCGGATCTCGTTCTTCGCCACTGACTGATAGAGTTCGCTCAGCATCTCCCGAGGAAAATCCACTCCACCGTTTGCAGCACGGAGGTTTCTGATAAAGTCGTCTTCGCTCATCTTCTTCTTTACTTGAGGCTTGTGCTGGTCTGTGTTGAGCATTATCACCGAGTATGCGAGTACGAAAGCAGCGTCCTTGTTCGCAAAAACATTGACGCACTGCTCGCAGTACCTCTGAGAGAATGCATCCATGACCCTCTCGATTTTCTGCGCTTCCCCAGGTAGCCGGAAGCTCTCCAAGAAAGTCCGAAGTGCCGCATCTAGACTGGTGCTGCTAAAGTCGAACGTCCGAGTGAATTCCGCTAGAACTTGAAGACAAAAGTCGTCTCTGTCACCCAAGAAATCCCCCAGCAGGTTTTTGTCGAGCCCAGTCGTGTACCTGAAAAAGCTTGCTACGCTCTGGGGGTCCAGTTTCTCGGGAAGCAAGTGGATTCCTTGCAGAAACTCCAGCCCCTTCTTCGGATCCCTGTTGAAGTGATCAGCTCCTATCATCAGCCTTCTCTTGATATACTTCTGCTTCCGAACGAATTCCACCCAGGAGCTTGGTTCTTTGTAATCGTCACAACGCATGTTCCAGAATGGAACGTACGCCTGTATCTCGAGGAACGTCGGGGGCTCCAGTGGAGAACCTGGAACCGAGTCTACCCTGTCCGCCATGCTGTGTATGATGGCCAAAAGTCCCTCCAAGGCCAAAACGTGCATTGCCGACAGCGGACAGTTGACGGGAAAAGCACTCTTGGAGAGCAAGTTTGCGAGCTCTTCGAAAGTATTGCTGCACGTAATGTCGCAGTCGAAGTTCGCATACATCTCGGGCATGAAGTTTGGCTGGCGGCAGAAATCAACCAGTGTCTCCATAGCCACCTCCTGCTGCTGGTACGATGCCCCAAACTTTCCCTGTGCCAGCCGCATGATGATAAAGCTGAAAAACGCCTCGAGCTGGAGCTTGATGTAGCTGCGAAGGTGGTGGTAGAGGTTGAGCACAATGCTGCAGACCATCGAGAGGATGATGGGATTGCTGGACAGTCCCATTTGCATGAGGTTCCGGAAGAGCTCGTCTCGAACCAAACTTATTAGCCTCTGGTGCTGTCCAAACGACGGACCACCAAACTCGATGGCCGAGTTGATAAGCGCGAGAGCAAACTGTGGAACATCCTCGTCGGTGCCACCAAGACTTTCGCCGAGACCATACGGGCCGACCATGTTCAAGAGAGAACACAGGAAGTGAAATATCTCCACCATACAAGGAACTCCGTATGGCTCTATTGTCCTCTGCTCCTCTTCTCCGTTTCTCAGCTTCCCTTCCTCGCTAACTTTCACCAGCAGGCCTGTAGCTAGCTCGGCATTCCCGTTTCCAAGGTAGTCTACACCGACAATGCTTAAGTCGGGCGCGTCAATATCAGCTTCCTGTCCAAAAGGAAGAAACAGAATGTTTAGTCACGCAAGGAACGTAAAAAAGAGAGACCTCGCCTGAAAGGCAATTGGAAATGAGCAAAGAAGAAAAGGACCCTCTTAGAAATCCAGCAAAAAGAGAAAGAAGAATTCACAGCGGACAAGAGGAAGAAAACAAACGAAAGAAACCAAGCAAAGAAAAAAAAAAGGAGAACGAGGAACTTACAACACCGACATTGTTCTCGACGTTGCTCCACGGAACAAGCAAACCATTGTTCCCGGCGAGAGGATCCATGCTGGAGAGATGCCCAAAGATGGCTCTCACGAGCTCGTGCATGGTGTGCCTGGCCACGCGCTGGAGGAGCTCACTCTTGTTCCCGGCCTGATGAACCACCCGAAAGGTCGTGTTGACAACGTTGCAAACATCCCTGTGCCCGAGCACTGCCCCCATATCACCGCCAATGCAAGCCAGAAGAACTTGCAAGATCTTCATGAGCACAGCCTCCTCGGACGCCGGATCCGTGACCTCAAACCGGCAGCTCGTCACGGACTCGACGATCGCATGCATCGCCTCGTCGACATGGCTGGTCCGGAGATCAAACACATCCGAGGTGAGGATCTTGTAGACCGCGCTGAGAGCCGTGCCAGTGATTGGGGCGCCTGTCTCGTCCGATCTCACCACATCCAGGAAAGGCGCGAGGTAGAGGCAGGGATTGATGGAATTCCAGGGCTTTTTCGTCCAGCTGAAGATAGACCGCCTCAGGAGCTTGAGGGAATAGATCAGGGAGTGATCCAGCTGCTCTTCATACCTCCCGGCCCAGCGGCTGTTGCGCCGCATTGTGGCCAGCACTGCGCCTACCTCGGCGGAGATCATACACGCCAATGCGCCGCTCTCCCGCCGCCGCCGGGCAGCGCTGCGAGAATTCGCCATCGCGGCGCCCCTGCTCTTGCCCCTGTGGCAGCTCCCACAGCTCCCTCCACCCTAGGAGGGACTTGGTCCAGGTTCGATTCCGCGTAAGAAAAAGATCTAATTATCTGTTAATAAGGGTAAATGATATGCTGGACACTTTGACCTATATTCCATGACCTTAGTCTTCTGTGCGTCAGGGGCTTGATATGAGAATGGAAGCACTCCAATACGTGACATATGCCATCTTCTTGCTCCTCTAGTTACTCCTATCCCAGCACAAATGAATAGGGTGGAATATGCCTTTGTCGTGAAGGGGTCTGCTCCTCTGATGGAGCAGCCTGTGTTTTGCCGCTTGGATGATCATCTGCCCTATCATCACCTGCTGCTGAGAGGTTCTTCAGCATCCTAATTGCCCCCTGTCCGTGCTCCATAGCTTATCCATGTTGCTTGTCCAGCTCCAAGACACAAAAACCATTGCTCTCAATCTTGAGGAGGGACTCCTGCGACGCTCCACTCACTGCAGATTGCAAGAAAACAAATGGAGCCATGCGTGTTTACCCTCAAACTCTCTCATTGACGCAGGCTCCAATTTGCAGCCGTAAGAGAGACTGTAAAAACGTCGAGGCTCCACCTTTCCTCCATAGACTTTTACATTCACAATTAACAACAGCATTTGTTTTACCTACCATTAAACTTTTACGATCAAAACTATTTACCATCACGAACTAGTGTTGAGAGTGGGATTCGAACCCCCTTCGGAGTAAAACCTTAATCCAGTGCCTCAGCTTTGTTCTTTTTCTTAATCTAAAAGATTGATTTAAAAATCCTTTCAACATGAGGTTGTTAATGTTAAGGCCTAATCTAGAAAACATTAACATTGATACATGTGGTAAACTTCATCTAGAAGAAATGTTTTATAAGAAAAAAATTACAAACTTTTAAGGTGTTGAGGGTGGGTTTGGAATGTTAAACCCCTGAAAAAAGAAGTTGAGGTTGCTAGGTCTTGCAATATTGTAAGATCCATGCCAAAAATTCTTCATCACAAACCAATAACCAGCTTCAGTGAAATGGTTGCTATCAAAGTATAAGTAATCCTTAGGATTGTTGCATATGAACTTAGTGTATTTATTTTTGTGATCTGGCTTCCAATCATGTTTATCAGCGTCCCCACAAAATTCTGCTGCATTAAATGGCCCCCCACCACAACATGCCTTTTCTGCTTCTTTGAAACCTAGATGAACACACACAAATATTAATGAATAGAATGGAGAGATAATTAGTGTTTCTTACCGTATTTTTCAGGATTCCTTAGCACGTTCATTATAATTGGAGATGGATTTAATGTTGCAATGTTCAAGTCACGATAGTCATTGTGTAACTTCACAGCAAGATTCAAGAGTTTAGTGTTATATGAATCCACAAGATTGTTAATAATTCCTATGCAGCCCTCTGGAGTTAAATTGGTATTCCTGCTTTGTGCTGATACTGCTCTCAAGTTAGGAGTACACCCAATTGGTGGTGCTAGCAGAATTATGATATGCTTAATGCCATAATTGTAAATTTCCTATAAATCAAAAGAGAAATCCAAAGGTTTTGAAGTTAGTGAATGTAATACTTGAGTACCTGAATAGCACTTGAAAATTCTTGTATCATCTCCTGGAACAAGAATGAGCTGGGAACAGCATTAGCAATATCATTAGCTCCCATGCTAAACAATGCCACTGAATTGCGCAAGATCTGGTTCGTAAACTCCACACCCTTCTCTTTTTTGTACTCATTTGTGACGTTGCGAAACTGCCGCAGCTGCTGCTTCATTGAAATAACTCCCTGATAAAACCCAAAAAGAATGAATCAAAATCAACTATTTCTGAGGGGAATACGGGAGTATACGTACTTGATGGGCATTCGTTTCATCTAACAAACCTGCACCGGCAGATGCAAAGTTCACACCACTGGAAAAGTTGGCGCCAGGCTCGAGAAAAGGTGGCAACAATGGAAGGCCTAGTGCTTGAGCCAGGAAATCAGCAATCGTTCTACCATCCGTCCAACGCCCTGTGGGCTTGCTGAAGTACGTCTTTCCATATGGCAGAATTGCGCTAACAATCCGGGAGCCCGGGATGTACGTGTTCTGTCCTCCATCTAACGCTGAGTCCCCAAAAACAAACAGGCCTTGTACTGGAGGATTCGTGCTAGCAGCTTGGGATATCGAGATGCATGCAACCAAAACAACGACAAGAACCCTGAATGCTTCCATCTCTCAACTAGAACTTCTATCTTACTTGTACGATTGTGGTATTCTCCGGTTTTATAATATGGAATAGATTTCCTTGTATGGAATAGCCATGTATGGCATGGCCATGTTCGGTAAAAATGGTTTCTGATAACCCAATCAACGCTTATTATAACCACCTTAACCAGCACAATCCAAATTAACATCATATAAATTTAGGTCTTACTCCTCACCTCAGTGTCATATCGCTCAAGAAAAAGCGAAAAAAAGGAGATTTTTCTACACATGATCCACATCCATTCTCTCGACATGACTTATCTTGAGCTCCCGCGACCAGTCTCTGGAGAACCAAGTCGGCATCGGCGTCGTGCTTCACAGCGACATGGCACGACAGCAAAACTTTGCCCATGGTCACGGACCATATGTGGAGCTCGTGAACTCCCAGGACGTCGGGATGGGCGAGCTCGAGGCCGCTTGTTTCTTCCTCTTCCTTGATTTTCTTTGTTCTTCTCAAGGAAGGGAAGATCCAGCCAACCAAAGAAGAAGAGAAGCATTTTTTTCTCATTCAGTTGCTCCACTGGTTCAAGACATAGTTCGTTTGCTGGCTCTTCTTTCCCAAATTTCTTTTTTTCTGAAAGAGCTCTGGATTTGCAGGTGGGTGAATTCGGTTCATGCTGATATTAATCTAAACTTGGGCTGTCATTGTTTGATTCCAGCTTTAAGTATGTTTCCCTTACTAATCTTACAAAATTTACCAATTCGACTCTGCCAATGCCTCAATCTTGTCCAACTTGCCTAAGATAAAGATGGATTGATAAAAAGGCTTGAGATGTTGAAACATTGGGCCTTTAATTATTATTAGTATTATAACTTTATTTAGGTTAGATGTGGAATTTTCTAATCCAGGATGGTTGTAACTTAAATTTTCACTAATTTATAATCGTTAAAATCTGTTTAAGTGAGTGAGTTACAAAATTCTTTATATTTTATGCAATTTAGACAGCTGTTATAAGTGGGAGTGTTTAAGAATATTCTAAGAATATTACTATTTGGAGGGGTTCCCTCAATCTATCATAATGAGGGAGTGCTGAACTTTCTTGGCCGCTGGATTCAGCCAATGGCAGCCGTCCGATGGAAGTAACTGTAAAAGGGTTATTATTTTAACCACATCTTAACGAATAATCATGCTGATGTTTGCTCTTGGCCAATGGGAGGCAGCCAAGGTGCTTGGGGTGAGGGAAGAAGGTGCTGTGACACATGTCATATGTAAATGTGTTGACCGTTGAGTGAAGAAAGCACTATGAAGAATGCATCGCCATTGTTATTCTTGCTAGGTGATTGCTTGCGGTTACCCAGGGATGCAATAGTGTGGAGAGCAGGCTAGTCCCAAGGCTACCGATGGCGCGGCCGCACATTTTCTCCATTGCCAATTTTTGGGGACTGATTGATGGGATCACATTTAACACCAAGGTGTTCCAAAAGGTGATCGATCACATTGGCAACTTTGGCGAGCTGGAAGGCACGACGATCGGCTCACCAAATGCTTCAATCTCACAAGCCACATGACTCTCTTCTTGGAACAGGACGCCACAATCCTCGCCTAAGAGAAGAGTTCTAGCATGAAAAGTAAAAAGTGATTTTTTTTCTGGATTTCTCGCATACACTAGCCCAAAATCCTCTTACCTCCTAGCTAGGGTTCTTCATTTTTAACGTTAGCCATGGAGGAAAATTGGTGCCCACCGTCGAGGGACGAATTCCGGGATCTTCACTAGGATCCTTAAGATTGGCCCATACTCGATCCCTTGCTATCGTATGGGTGAGGAAGGCTAATCGATTTTATCTGTGGATGCCCAGAAGTAGCACCAGAAAAGGGTGTAATTTCTGAGTTGTGATGAGAGGCAAGACAACCCATATGTATGGATTTCAGTATATCATTGGACCAGCCAGCACTGGAAAGTCCAGCATGCTGTTGTGAGATACCTTTCTCAGGAAGGCCGCGACATGATTTTCCTTAATGCTCAAAGGCCCTACGAGAATCTGAGTAAGAGTTACGATTGTAATAGACAGTGGCAATGTAATTTCAACGAAGAGTGGTGCTATTGCTTTGCTAGCTGGCCTTGTGAATGTCTGCAATGTAGTCTTTTGTGCTTCACTCTCCAGTGAATGGAACAAAGTGATCTGCAATCCCAAAACCCATTTCGTTGAGCTGATAGATTATGGATGTCTTTTGATGGCATCATCAGATCAAAATTCAAAATTGGCAGAGATTTTAATTTTTTTTAATGGGTTACCTAAGAGAGTGAATATTTTTTATGTGAATAAATTTATTTATAATGCTTTATGAATAAAATAATCAAATTTACATAAACATATTCTTTTATTTAAAGTATTATAATCTTTGAATAGTTTAGGTCAAAATTAACTTTTATAATTTAATTTTTACATTATTTAAAATATAATAAGAAGATTATATTCTGTACAGATGGCCTATTTAAATATCATTAAAATATTTAAAACTCAACACTAGGTGGTATATCAAATGTGGGTTGATTTAGTTTTATAAATGTGTAAAAACCATAATTAAAGCTTCAAGTGTTAATACAAAAACATTAAACAACTTTAAAAATAAGAGTACATATTATATTTTTATATGTAGCCTTAGCTATTTACAATCTAACTCATTATCAAAAAAAATATGATAATGTATGCAATATTTGATTAAGCAATAATATTTTAAAAATTATTTTACTAACTGCAAAAATAGTTTATTAGTACATAATACTATGGAATATAAGATTTGAATTTATAGCTTCTATAACATATATATTTACAAATAATTTTCTTGATTAAATCTGGGTAGTAATATACTAATGTTCCTAAAAACTTATTGTTTTATATTCTAAGTAAAACGTATAACTAATTAATGTCTTGCAGTAATTATTCTCTTTTATTTCATAAAATCATGATAAGTTTATCCCAAGTAAAATATAATTTAAATATAACATATTTTTAATAATAATTCATTTTTAATTTTTTCTTTGTCAGGTATTTTTTAATATATTCATATTTCTAAATAAAAATTTGTATATATTTCTATTAATGAATATTTATTCTTATTTATGCCTAGGAGTATATTTTTTCTAAATACATATATTATCAAGTTTACTAGAATTAATTGTGGTATTCAATATAACATTTTCTAGGCATAATTCCCTCAACTAAAGTGGAATACAATATTTTTTTAATACAATTCCAATTTAGTTATTAATATATTAAAAAAATCAAAACAGTATTTTGCTACATACACAGCATATGCTGGGCAAGTGGTAGTTACTAATAATTTTCTTGCAACAACACTTGGTTTGCTTATAGTAGTGTTATTATTATTTATTAATCCAACTGATCAAATGGAAGTTTATAATTATAAACATGTTTATAATTTATAACATAAAATCATATCAACTATTAGATAGTAAAATAAAAACGAATATACTAGATTGGGTTTACGAAATTTTATAAATTATAAACATGTTTATAAATTTCAAATGCAAGATTAATCTAAATGAATAACAACTATTAGATGGTAAAATTTTTAGAATATCTAAGTATATTCTAGATATATCCACTGCCACCCTACAGGTTTGATTAAGCAAATCATAAAATGTATCTCCTACCAAGTTTTCTACAAATTTCTTTTTAATTGTTCAAGTGACTATGATCAAGTAGTTTCTTCATTACTTGGGCATTGATATTAATCAGGTTTACTTTTGGAACATGGTGGGAACTGAATTTTGGGGCTATTTACAACACACTCAAATGCAAAAGCTTCATTTCCATTAAGAACTAATTAAAAAAAGAGAAAGAATATGGAAATATTACTCACTATCTTCTTTCTAGATTATGGGTTCAAGATAGGACTAAAGAGCCTCTAGTCTTTTAAGTACCTAATAACAATTATCTAATAAATATGCCAAGAAAGTATAAGATGTCACATGACATCATCATCACATATCATTAGTATTACCATGATTGGTCAAATTTTACCACAAGTTTATATGAATAGGAACAAGAAAAAATTAGAAATTTATAACACTAGAGCAAGGAGTTAATCACTGGCAAAAGAGGTAAGTTTATACATTTTACATGAATTAGTGGGTAGGACATTAAACTAGAGTTAAGGGTCATCTCCTAGATATTCCTAGTTGGATGTGTTTTTTTGCTTTAAAATCCCACTTAGCAAAGGAAAGAGCTCTAAGAATTAAAGAAGAGTATGATTTTAGAAGAAATAAACTTAATAAGTCTTTTAATGACAAAATAGTAGTACAAAATTCCAAAGAGAAAATAATTTTGAGTGTAATATAATTTATCTTTTTTCTTTTAAACCAATTTAAAAGGGCAATTATTTGTTATATATAACTAGGTTTTGAAAATTTATAATAATAATATATTTAAATTGTATCCCATGATCATATACACTATATTTACTTCCCTTCAATGTTTGCTAACTATCTATCCTTATAGAGCCAAAGGCAACCAATACCTCTATTTCCACACTAAATTTACCAATTTTTTTATTGTAAAAACTAGCTATTTAATGTGAGTCAACTAATTATCTACTTCTACTATAGTCCCATGGTGAATCCTTTTGTTTATGGATGCCTTACAGATACTCATGGATACCTAATTTTTATGGGTAGAAATATACTTTATTTTATATACCTTAAGTAGCCACTAATTAATAGGAATTAAACATGTATTATTGCTTTGATACTATGTAACACACAATGACAATATATCCAACTCTTATCTTATGATCACATATGTTACATTGAGTGATATTTGAAACCCAACTAAGTGAGTAAATGTTGAAAATCTAGTGGTAAAATATTTTTACAAATGTGGTATCCATAATTTTTTAAGTATGATTTATTTAGCATTAGTTAGTATTATTTTTTTGTAAAGGAGTATGTAGCACCAAAATCAGAGAAGTTAAAGAACAACTTTGATTGTTAATAAAAGAAAGTAGCTTAAGCATTCTTGAGAGCCAATTAAGGAAAGATGAAGGATACAAAAAGGGCTACTATTTTTCTATAAAATCATGATTTTTAAAGCTCAAATTTAGAGTGTAAAGAACACATAATCACTTTTGAAGCCTTAGATCCTTGGGTTAGAGCAATTAGATACTAAAAGTATAAATGTGGTTATTGGGGCTAATTTGTAACTATTTTCTAGATAAAGTGTTTAGCATAGATTTGTTATTTGGTAAAAAAACCTTTATAAGACACATTGTTGGAATAACCAGGGCACCTTTAAAGCAATTTAGCTCTCAAGCCAAATTGGGATAAATTTCCACTTTTGTACTAATTAAAAAATAACTTAAGGATTATGGTATATTCTTTAGATTGGAAT